TGGGTAAAATGAGGACCCAGATTGTTGGGGGCAATATGCTGACTCTGTAAACCACTTAGAGAGGGCTGAAAGCCCTATGAAGCGGTATATAAGTCGAACTGCTATCTACAAGAGCAATCAATGCAGTTCTTGGAACCAAATCCCGTTCTAAACTTATCCAGAAGGGATAAGTTTTATTTAGGCTCCTCTGTAGCTGGAGTCCCACCGTCTTATCTAACATCTCTCCCAAAGCAAAAGGTTGGAGTCCAAAACAACTGCATTTTGATATATTCAGAAATAATCAACTTCCTTCAAAAAGTCTGACACCTCTCTTCCACCACAAAGTGAAACATTCATTGTAAGACTGAGAGACCGATGCTGGGGAATAGTGTTGCATGACAAAACAAAACATGACAATATATAGTCATAATACAAGTTTAACCAAATTTAAATAAGAATATCTCCCAGATATACATCATGTTACACAGCAAAGCGGATTTAGACATCTGGCATGTGGTTTCTAGGAAAAGAGTCAAGAAACTAATTAAAAATAACAGATGAAATTATTTAAACAGATATAAGCAAAAATTCCCAGTGCTTAATATTGCATATCAAAAGCATAGCATAAATATTTAAGTAATGATTAATGGTTTGAGAAAAAGAATGGACTAGGAGACTGTCACCAAATTTTCCATCATAATTTTTTACTTATGTTCTCTTTTTCGTTCTGCTTTTGTCTTTTTATTCCTCATTCTTTCTATTCCTTTAAGCTACGCAATATAATTTTTTAAAAATCACCTCATAAATCCAACCAAACATATTGCTATAGCCAAGTAGAGTGTTCTACAGAGAGCCTTATCTACTTCCACAGACCCCCTACAATTTCAAATGCATCCCCTTGGCTTTGTGGGGTATTGCCCCAATCATCTTGTTGCACTGTATGCCTTAGATGTCAGCCCTAAGGCATACAGCTTGAAATCTTGTAGCTCAGAGGTCTCCAGTATCAGATTAGCTGTGAGAATCAGGAACCCAGGCATGGAGACTGGTCAATATCTCAATAGTAGATGAGCTATACCGTATTATCCTTTAGGAGAAGAAATTAGTGAATTTTTCTTATTCGTGTTGGGAAAAAATCGCCCTGTTTTTTCATTCTGTCTTCAATGAACTATGCAACCTACCTTCTTCCAGTACAGCCTGCCAACTGTTTCAATGAAACCACCAATATATCCTGTTTAGTCTTCTAACTAAGCTAAAGTAAGCCAAAGCCAAAACTTGACCTTTCTTCTTGGCTGTTTATTTGCCCCATTTAACTCTTTCCTATTCTAGATGATTGTAATTCCATAGTATCACAATGGCCACGTCTGTCTCCATAACACTGCATATACCAGATACTCCAACTACATCAATGTATCTATTATTGGTGTATAACTTTGGTGTAGCTACTGCAATTACACCAAAGTGATACATCAATGGAGAGATTCAATAGGAGAACATTCTTGATCTACCATAACTATGATATTGCCAGCTATGCTGGAGAAACAATGAAGCATTCTAATAATCTAATTTTCTTCTTTTGATTTTAAAACAATAAATTATCAAACAAAAGTGCCACTGATTATATTTGATCAACTCAGAACTGGTTCTGATTTAGACCAGAACAAGGCTATATGAAAAAACAATGAACTAACAATGTTTACTGTTAAATGCTTCAGCTTTGTCTCTTTCCCTGGGATGTCATGTCAAACCCCTAAAAATATATATTACCAGTGATTCCCTCTTTGCAGTGTTCAGTTTGTACTGTATTCCTTATTCTATCAGATCAATATGAATTTCAAGACTTTAGTCCAGTTCACATTGAGTGCCATCATACTGAAGGATTGTATTTCCTCTGATTTTATTATTTCAGACTGCAGGTGGAGGTTACATTTTTGGATGCTACTCTACACAGAATAAATCTTACAAGTAAGAAATTATCACATAGGGAAGTTCTTGGCCATTCTATTTCTTGTTCTGTTAAGTTTCCTACTTGAAAGGAAAGCTTGGGTTTTGCATTTGATTTTAAAATGCATTCAGAAATGTGAACTCCCACCTGTACTCTGAAGTGGCACAGTCCATTCTACTGTCTCATTCCCACTGCATTTTGCCTTGTGTGTAGACCAATCCTGAAATCACCAAGGAAGATTATTATATAAGCATCCTGGGCAATATTTTCCATTGTTGAACTTGATCATGTAGATCATGATGGCTGCAACAAAATTAATTTTATATCAGTACATTCCAGAATAATATAAAGTGTAAACGCAGAAATATGCACAACATATATATATATATTATTGCTAGATTTGTATCTATCCTTCATTCAAAATCTCAAGATAGGATATGATGTATCCATTTTTTCCCATATCGATCTTCTTGGGGATTAGGCTTGCTGGAAAAAAAAGATTTGCTCAAAATCACTATAATGGAAATGTAGAAAATCACTATGATGGAACTTGCCTAATCATAGTTCAGTACCTTAAATACTGTACCGTTACGACTCTATAGTTTACTATACAACCATATATGAAATAACTACAATGCCTACAAAATTGTCCAAGAGTAAGGAAATTTTCTTTTAACTCCAATAATAGGTGTAACTGAGCTAGGAAAAATCCATGAGTGTTCTCAGTCAATAGTCCATCCTAACAAATTACATCTAAAGGATTTCTAGCAGATGTCAATTCTCCCATGTTTACTTCAGAAATCATACAGAATGGCAATTTGGTAAAAATTAAAAGGTCAATTAATTGAACTTCATGTCAAAAAAAACCTTCTACCTCTGAATGTTAACAACTAATCTTAGATAAGATCAATCAATCAATCAATCGATCTTTTGATTGATTAGACAGGATTGCACTGTTCCAATGTGGAGGTTCTCTGAAATCTATAACAACTGAAAAAAGCTGATGCTATAGAGTAGACTTGTCAATGGAAGACATTATCTCAATTATCTATGTACAATGATTAGGTTTACCATTACGCATTTCATGTAACTTTGCCTTGAAAGATGATTTGGAGCCACCCAATTAGACCAACTAGATATCTAGATCACATGACACTAATACTACATTTCTAACTCCAATGTTAAGGTTTGAAGTTGTAAAACTTCCAATAATTTTGAACTATAAATATTTTGTGCTGCCCACATCTGCCTTTCTCCACCAAAGGTGGTTGAATACAGAAACAAGTACAGTATCTCCCCAAACAAGAAAGCATTGAAGATCCATTTATTTTTTATTGCCTTCTTCATTGTGATTTCTGAAAATCAATTATGTCAGTTATGTTTTAAATATTAAAACTCTCTTGGTTAAATATTATTGTTGGGTTGCATTGCTGATGATCATTGTTTATCAATGAAGTTAGTTTTAAAAGGGCTTTTGATCTTATGGCATTCGATAAATAAATAAGCAAGCAAGCATTTACCAATGTACAAATCTACCATACTTGGAGAACATAAAAAGTATTTGAAGAATAAACAGATCCAAATTCATAGGCAAAAGTTTAGAGTGTATCTATACAATATATTGATGGTAAAGTACATTTCCTATGTTTAAAAGCAGGCAGCTGCAGAAGAATTCCTCATGGGTCTCCCCAAAAATGGTGCTTTAGAAAGCACTTTAGTGCTAAGTACTTTGGGAGATTTGGGGCTCAAAGCAGTATAAGCATAAGTAGATCAAGCAAGGGCTAATTACTTCACAGAATGAAATTTAGTCCCAATCTGTGCTATGGTTTAGACATTCCAAGTTTTGCAATACAAAATGGATTTGTGTCTTTTTCACTACACCTAATTTATTTCAAATAGTTTTCAGCTTGCTGCAGGACACCTCAAACAAATTAATTCAATCTGTGAGTGATATGAATGCATTAAAAGGGTAGGACAAAATTCAAAATAAATAATGTATGCAGATTAACTAATATTTGTGAAAGAACACGTTTCTACTTTTATAGTTGACAGAATACAACTTACGAGGAAAAGACACAAGGAACCAAAATAAGGTTCTAAATGGGATTGAGATGTTTTGTCATTTTAAATCAAAATGCACCTATTTAAAAAAACTCAACAAGTAGAACATCCTTTTTTGTTTATTTTCCTATCTTTGCTGATTAAGCCTTATGTGAAAAATACTGGAATCAATGTGGGATCAAATTTATATATCCTGCAAATCTCAGTCAAAGGAATGAATTAACCAGAAGATATTCAAATCAGTAAAGTAATTTTCATTTCTATTTAATTTTAAAAAGGGAGGGTAACCTCAAATTCTGTTTGCTGAGCATGACATTTTAAACATTTTGTACTTAACCATAAGCCTTGTCCATGGAATATATAATATTAATATAACTATATGTAATAACAAGAGCCTACACAAATGAAGATTTTTTTTTACTGAGTTGTTTCAGTAATGAGCAAAACACTGAAAACAAATTGTGAGGTGGAACATTGGAAGACACAATTCTACTAATGGATTTTAAAAAAAAATATGTTGGGCCTCAACTTTGCTAAGAAAGTCAGTACCCAATTTTCTTTCTGCAGTTCTTCAATGTTGAAAAGCCATGACTCTTCCTATTACTGGAACACTTTTTGTTGCTTATATTCTATGGCTAAATTCTTGGCTCAGGCTTCATTCAAATTAAATCATTATCACAATCTTTAATTACTTTCAACAAGGAAATGTGAAAACATATAACTAAGAATAGCAACACACCGAAGAGTTCTATATATTATTTCAAGGAACAAGCAATATTTGCACATCTGATCTACCATCTGTCTCATATGGGCCTAATTTTATGAAATGCCATGTCCCTTTGCTGCAAACTCAGATGCCACTGTTTATCGGCATCCTTCTATGAGCTAAACACCCCAGCCACTCAGATCAGAAACTAACTACTTATTTGATTGTTTTAACCTTAGTTAGTTTAAAGACAGATTTCACAGATTTGCGTAAGGCTTACCTGGCACAGGTATGGCGTGGATCTGTGCCCGTGACAGGAGTTCCAACGATGGCTCACGTCCAGAAACTCCATCTGAAGAGAAACATGATTCAGTTTCGTAAATTGTCTGCAACATCTCTGGCAGTCCCCACACTGAGGATACAAGAAGCATGCCAAAGAACAATTATGCTCTGTCGTTATTCCACTTCAGTTTGCCTTGATGACAATCCGTTGCCCAACTAAAGGGGTGTATCTTGTTATGCTAGACTGTCAACTCAAACCATCCAACATTCTCCTAAAACAGCTGCAACCATGCAGGCATCCATCCTCCTTGGAGAAGACTATCCTTGAAAAAGTTAAATTGTTTCACAGCAATGGTGTGGTGTGATGACAAGGAAATCTCCAAGACTAAATCAAAGCTGTCAGGAGAGAAAACAAAAATACTTGCAGATAAAAATCTCCTTTCAAGAAGATAGCAGCAGAGGTGAAAATTGTTTCATCCACACCAGATTGAAAGGGACAGGACTTGCAAGACACAGGAACAGGCTGAGGCAAAAGATAATGGAAAAGGAGGAAATGTCTTATATCTTAGTCATGATTTATTTTACTCTGAAAGGATAGATTTAGCAACATCTTCTTAGAACTCAGAAGAAGTCTCTAAAAAACAGAACATCCCTAGAGTGATAGATTTATTTTGAAGAGGTTCCTGAAAAATAAAGCAGCAGCTCCCTGCCATTCCTACAAGAGGCCCATTTTTGTAAGATGCAAGAGTCTGCTCCAGTCACACAATTGTTTCCCAACCCAGTCACCAAATGATATGGATTCTGCTGGGGGTGACCTGAAATAGAATGTCAGGGAGGAACTAGCTATAAATAAACTCAGCTGAGCTTTCTCCAAGCAGGGAGGGTTCAGGCAAAAGGAGCTGCCTGCCTATCAGAAGCTGGATTTCGACCCGGGATCAGCGGAAAAAGATTCCCTGGGGGAAAGGCTGTACCGCTTGCCAACCAAGAAAAGGAAGGCGACACAAGAACAAAAGGGAAGGGAATGACCCTTTCTGTGTTCTGGATGCCAGAGTCCACCTACAGACATTGCCTAGCTGGTTAAAACACTTTTTTGAGCACAGAGATCATTGAAGCAACAGCAGTAAAATGCCAAAGGCTATAATCTTAACTCCATATTTGCAGAAAAGCAAAACTGAATACAATCTGCTAAAAAGGAAAAGGAGGAAAAACCACAACAACCAACCATAACTACAATTATGTCCTTGGATAAATTATATATGCTATGTGTATTAACATATATTCTTTATTATCACTGTTCCTAAAGAGTTATCTAGAACAATCACATGAATTTTATGTTTTATATTTTATTTGATGCGAACAACATTTGCTAATTCTGACAAAAGACTTTATTAGGTGAAGAACAAACATGGAGATGGTTAACTAAATTCAGTGAAATTGCTGAAGAGGTATAAATTGCTGATTTTATATTTCTGTTCTTATATTTGCAATCCACAAGTGTGTGGACCAACCTCCAGGAGTCTTAGTACTGGCCAACTGTCTAGGGAATACTGGAAGCCGAGATTCATCTTCAAGGCACCCAGATTGGAGACAGCTGTAAAAAGACATCAGAAAGAAGTTGTTCCCCATCACCACACTAAACAGAAGCACACACACTTTTTATATCTCTAGCATCTCTTCCACAAAAGCAGGGATACACAGCATATGGCTCTCTATTAACAACTCCCATGATACCTTGCCACTGACCACTGACCATACTAGTCGGGGACAACATGACTTGGAGTTCAGCATCATCTGGAAGTTCTCAGTTACTTCATTTCTGCTAAATTCTGCAACACAATCTCACAAAAGCTATGTTTTTTTAAAGAACATGTGAGAATGCAACTGTGCAGCACAAAACACTTTAAAGTTAATTAGGCTTCCTCTAATTCCTCACCTTCCGAATGCAATATTTCAAGATAGTTCGTGAAATAACTGAAGTTTTTACTGAATATACTTAGAATGGGGTGTTGGTTCTTACTTGATACGCCCCTTCTCGAGGCAGGTGGAGACAGCGGTCATGCATGGGTTAACTCAGTCAGTAACCAATAGAACTGAGTCTACCAAAGTGATGTCATCACCTCAGAGGAGTGTCCTCCCGCTTTTGTGACGAAGGAGATAAGTAGACTGCTGCGCGTTAGTCAATTGCTTTCAATCCTCTGATCCTCCAGCCTAGCTCCCAGAACGCACTCCGCGAACTAGGCCTGGAACCAAAGGGTGGGGATAACCGCTGTCTCCACTTGCCTCGAGAAGGGGTGGATCAGGTAAGAAGCAATGCCCCATTCTCCAATGTTGGTGGAGACAGCGGTCATGCATAGGACGTACCAAAGCTGGGCGTGTCCCCGGGTAGGAATGAGACTGGGCTAGGAGCTCGAAGAGGGAAGAACCTTTGAAGGACACACCATCTGAATGCTGCATCTGCCGATACGTATCTATCCACCTTATAATGGCAGATAAAGGAAGTAGGAGTTGCCCAGGTGGCCGCCTTGCAGATCTCTTCCACTGAGGCCTGCCTTGTCCACATTGCTGATGTAGCTGTGCTGCATGTGGAATGCGCCATGATGTTGGATGGAAGCATGAGGTGATGTGCCAAGTAAGCTCTAGTTATGGTTGACTGGATCCAGCATCCAACCATAGATGGAGAAACCTTCAGAGCCTTGTTTGTGGGATGGAAAGACACCAAGAGCACTTCGGTGCACGTGAAGACGGCCGTCCTGGCAATGTAGATCTTAAGAGAGCATCTTATGTCTAACCTGTGCCATTTGAGTTCGAGACTGTGAGAAGGATTAGGACAACAGTTCGGTAGAGTGAGATCTAGAGACAGATGAAAAGCTGAATTGACCTTTGGAACAAAGGTGGGATCAAGTCGAAGGACCACGCGGCCTGAGTGAAAGTTACACAAGTCGGAACGGATGGAAAGGGCCACCAATTTTGAGACCCATCGTGCGGATGTGATGGCCACCAGAAAGTTTGTTTTCAATGTGAGGTGATGCAGGGAGGCCAACCTGAGAGGCTCGAAGGGTGGTCCAGTGAGAAAGTCAAGGACTTAGATCCCACGAGGGAAGCGGTGAATGACAGGAGGGCAGTAATTAGATGTGCCCTGAATTAAGCGGCATACATGAGGGTGCAAGGAGAGCGGTTCATCCCGGGGAAGAGAGAGAACTGAAGAGAGAGCCAACACCTGCCTCTGTAAGGTGTTAGGCGCGAGCCCTTTAGATAGTCCCTGTTGCAGGAACTCCAAATCCTGGGGGACCGAAGCTTTCAGAGATGAAACCTTTCTAGAAAGGCACCATGTGCTGAAAGTCTGCCACGTTGACTCGTAGATCCTATTAGTGACTGGGCATTGAGAAGCCTGAATAGTTTGAATTACAGTTTCAGAAAGATTTGCCGCCCTCAAGACTGCCCGCTCAGCCTCCATACGGTTAGGTGGAGCCAAGATAGATCGGGATGGTGGATGGAGCCCTGGTGCAGAAGAGATCAGGGGGAGACGCCACACTGGGCCCACTGAGAGGTTGACTAGGTCCGTGAACCATGGGCAGCGCGGCCAATGGGGGGCGAATAGGATGAGCTTGGCCTCTTCCTCTATCATTTTCTGAATGATCCTCTGTATCAGGGGGAAGGGAGGGAAGGCCTACAGGAGACCGTGAGGCCACCTGCACCTTAAGGCATCCGTCCCTTCAGCGCCTGATGTCATGTAGCGAGACAGATAGCTGGGCAGCTGATTGTTGGATGCCGTTGCGAAGAGATCTAGCACTGCGGTCCCGTACCTGGTTGACAGCTGTTTGAAGATGCAACGGATGAGAGTCCACTCCGCAGGATCGATTGTTGTGCGGCTCAACCAGTGTGCTCTGGTGTTGCTGGAGCCCGATATGTGTTTGGCGTGGAGAGAGATAAGGTTGGCTTCCGCCCAGATCCCTATGTGAAAGGCAGACTCCATGAGGGATACTGCTCTCGTCCCCCCTGGCGGTTGATATGCACCTTGGCTGTTGTGTTGTCTGTCCGAATTAGTACATGTGTTGCGAGATTGGAACTGAAGGAGGGCTAGATGGATGGCCCTCAACTCTAGCCAATTATACTGTGGGAAAGGTTGGAATCGGACCAGAGACCCTGAGCTATCTGATCCTCCAGGTGAGCGCCCCAACCCATCAAACTCACATCCATTGTAACTACAAGATGAGGGGCTCCCTGAAGAGGGACCCCTGAGAGATGGCCAAGGAGATCCACCAGTCCAGAGAGTGTAAGACCTCTGGAGTCAACCTGACCTTCACTAGGGAACAGCTGATGTTGGGTCTTCTGGAATGGGAGAAGAAACCACTGGAGGCAGCAGCTGTGAAGCCGCGTCCAAGGGATGATGGAGAAGCAAGAGACCATCTTCCCCAGCAGTTGAGACAGCTGGAGAAGAGGGACCTGCTGTCTCCTCCATACCTCGAAGGCTAAGTCCTTGAGGCTGATCTGTCATTCCCGAGACAGGAAGACTCCCCTGAGTGGAGTCGATGAGGGTTCCCAAGTGCACTAGACAGGAGGTGGGAACAAGGTGGCTTTTCTTCTGATTGATGGAGAATCCCACTTCCTGAAGCACCTGCAAGATGTCCTGGAGATCCCGAAGGGCCTGGTTGCGTGACCTGGACTACAGGAGAATGTCGTCCAGGTAGCAAAAGATCTGAATGGGTCTGGAACGTAAGTGGGCTGCTACGACTGACAGGAGCTTGGGGCTGATGATAGCCTGAAGGGGAGGGCCCGATACTGAAAGTGACAGCCCGCATAAATGAAGCGGAGCAACCGTTTGTGTTGTTTGTGAATGGGTACGGGGAGATAAGCCTCCGTGATGTCTACTGATGTAAGGAGGCCATGTTTGTGCACACTCTCTAGGATTGACAGGAGAGAGTGCATTTTGAATGTCCTGTACCTGATGAATCTATTTAGAATTTGAGATCAAGAATTGCTCTCCAGCCCCCCGAAGATTTCGGCACAATAAAGAAACGAGAGTAGAACCCCTGTCCCACTTGGCCTGGAGGCACAGATTGAATGGCCCAAATGA